TTCTGTAGAGGAAAACTTTATGAAGGTCGCCTCGGCCCGCAAATAGCGTATATTTGTGGTAAACTATGTATAAATTATCCATGTTCAGCTGCCCCAACGTACCCCTGTTAAATTTAACGATATTTTCAGCAATAATGTCTGCCTGTAAACAAGCACTTTCAGCAGTATGGCATGGGGAAGCAGATGCCACAAAGAAGAGTTGCATTGTTTGATCACATTTTTAGTTGATAAATCCAAATGTTCCGAGACGGACTTGACATCTATAGAATGTACCATTAAAAATTTATGCAAAACTCTTTCTAAAAGAAGGACAAAATAGAATAGATGTAAGGTGCGTTTCATGAGGAAGAACTCAGGCTAACTGAACATTTGGTTCCTTTGGATGAGCATGGCGTATTATAGATATATATATAAAAAGTACCACTTCCGATCGGAATGATGTCAGAAGAAGCCTTAGAAGCCAAAACAAAGATTTAAGAAATTTTCGCTTAAGCCATACGCGTAAAAACACTCGCCAAAATACAATGGAGGATCTTTTGCATTTATTCTTAGAATCGTCAGATCCATTAACTACAAGCTTTTCCAAAAGTTCGGCCAATAACTCTAGCAAGGCAGTTTCCTTTGAGATTGAAGGTCAGAATCTTCTGGACTACAATGCTCAAAACGAAGATTCGGATTCTGACTCAGAAAAAATTTAGATTCAGACTAGAACAACTAAAACTAGTTTATTTTGTAAAACTGCATTTAAAAAAAATAATTTAAAAAATGTTTATTTAAAAAATAAATAATAATAAATGTTACCTAATTAAAATTACTAAACTTTCATTTCTTATTGGGTTAACATTCTATAAAAATTTCAAACTTTTTAAAATTATCATTATTTTTAAAGATGTTCAACTTCTCTGAAGCTAAATTATCCAAATCGGCCACTGTGCGTTGATCGGGATCGGTGACAACTTTCATGTTGTCCCGCTTATCAAAGGGTACATCCATGAAAGTAAGATGCAAACAAAGACTGAAGAGCACTTCCGAATCAAGGTCGAGCTCGAGCCAAAAAGCAGGCCGCTGAAGAAGGACAAGTTGACAAGTTGAAATATCTTTTGCATCGGAGAGTCACTGTGGAAGAGCCATATAAACGAAACAGTCCAGTGCAATGCACTAATTGATAAAAGTATGGACAAACTAGGTCATACTGAACCTTTTGGGCCGATGGTGTAGTCTGCGAGGACGCAGACGCAGAGGATGTATGGTGTACATGGATTTGAAAAGTAGCATGCGACAAGCGACTGCAACGCGCAATCAAAATCCATAGAATTCGTACATTGCAGTTTCACATATTGACCAACATCCCCTTGCAACCTCCCAGACATTATTGATTTTGCGGTGACAAAAAACATACCTGGCAATCTAATAAGTGACAAAGAAGTCTCGGACTTTTCATCAGATTACTCGCCTGTGCTTTTAACGCTTCTTCAAAGTCCAGATATAACCAAACACCCCTTCAGCCTGACGTCGCCAAAAACGAACTGGCTTAAATACAAAAACTACGCCCACATCGAACTCGCCGTAATATCGAAGCGTAATATGGAAGCGTAATATGGAATCGGACATCGACCACACAACGAGCGTCCTGGAAGAAGTACTCGTTGCGGCAGCTAAAATCACTACTCCTCAAAGGAAGGAAGTAGTCCGAAACAAATACTACAAATCCAATCAGCAAATCGAACAACTTGTGCGAGAAAAAAGGCGCACTTGTCGTGATTGACAAAACATAAGATCAGCAGATTAAGGAAGCAACCCGATCACTCGACCAGGCTCTTGCACAGAAACTCTTCGGGATGCTGTGCAGCGACGAAGAAAGGCAAACCCTGCCTCGAATTTATTCCTCCTGGAACTAATTCAGCTAGACGCTACCCCTCTGCAAACCACACCTTTATTCCGGCCAAACGAAATTGAAAAAGTCATAAAAGGGCTAAAACCAAAAACGGCGCCCGGAGATGACTTACTGACGCCAAAGATGTTCATTGAATTCCAAAATGCGCTATAGAGGTAGTTTGTAAACTATTTAATAGGATGATTAATCTTGGATGGCGTTTAAGTCCAGTGGGAAATTTTCTTGGTGGGTTTCCGCATTCTTGACTCGAACAAAGTGCGCTATGAACGGCGCGCAGCTAATCCCAAAAGTCATTTGGGATCATTTGGAATCTGTCGCATAGCTCTTTCATATTGACTATCTGTCTCGGTAATGCTAGGTTCTGAACAGTCTGGACGTTTTTCAACCAGTAAACCTTGTCGGAGTTCATTCAACTCTCGAATCGAGTTTGGCCTTTGGAATACGGATGCGTCTGCTAAGGTCACGAATGATCCTTCATTTAGAAAGGCGTAGATTTCGGTCTGCCTGCTGCCGTAATGCAGCTTGACTGGAATGATGCGAAAGAACTGACTTCCGTTGTTGACGTCTCGATGCGTACTCACGTGACTTTGTGGTCTGTCTTGGACGATTGCTATTAATTCCACAGTTCCCGGTTCGGCATCTGTTCCGGTGTAACTTGAGGTAGCAGAAACAGGCTTTACCCGCTCTGAGTGCCTTCCCCTGAGCTCCGCGTCAAGGTTCAAGAATACCTGGCATAGAGTTGGGCTGTGACTCGTGTCGCCGCAAGCTACGCACCTCAAATGAACTTGCTGCTGAGCTGCTTCAGTATGAATCGCGTTCGATCGTGTTTGTCCTCATGATGGTCCAGGCTCATCTGCCTCTCCCTTGTCCGGGCGGCGACTGTTGTGGGAGTTAACTCGCCCGTTTTGGCGCTGGCGCCACCACTAATAACGCAGCCTCTGCGATTTTATTCAGCCAATCACTGAATGCTTTGACTGCCACCCTATCGTCGCGGAGATGCATTGCCAAGTTTAACTTGTGTTCTTAAAAGCTTATCAACCAGCTCCTTGACCAGCATTGGATTGTTGAGATGGGCCTTCAGATTGCACGCCTCCATCCGAACTGCAAGCGCGTACTCTATTAACGCGTCGAACTGACTTTGTGTGGTGCCAGTGGTGCAGCCTGTCGAAGAACATCTTCAAAGTGCTGATGACTTCTGGCACTAGGTTAGGAAGTAGGAGTTTACCTCAAACCAGGTTTCCCTTTAAGCGACTTTTGCAGACGTAGCATATTTTCCATGTTTTTATATCCCGCTGCTGTCGTGCTGCATATTTTCAACAAATTTCAACTTCTGTAGAGGAAAACTTTATGAAGGTCGCCTCGGCCCGCAAATAGCGTATATTTGTGGTAAACTATGCTTCGTTTAGTGTATAAATTATCCATGTTCAGCTGCCCCAACGTACCCCTGTTAAATTTAACGATATTTTCAGCAATAATGTCTGCCTGTAAACAAGCACTTTCAGCAGTATGGCATGGGGAAGCAGATGCCACAAAGAAGAGTTGCATTGTTTGATCACATTTTTAGCGGTAAAGTTGATAAATCCAAATGTTCCGAGACGGACTTGACATCTATAGAATGTACCATTACAAATTTTTGCAAAACTCTTTCTAAACGAAGGAAAAAATAGAATAGATGTAAGGTGCGTTTCATGAGGAAGAACTCGGGCTAACCTGAACATTTGGTTCCTTTGGATGAGCATGGCGTATTATAGATATATATATAAAAAGTACCACTTCCGATCGGAACGATGTCAGAAGAAGCCTTAGAAGCCAAAACAAAGATTTAAGAAATTTTCGCTTAAGCCATACGCGTAAAAACACTCGCCAAAATACAATGGAGGATCTTTTGCATTTATTCTTAGAATCGTCAGATCCATTAACTACAAGCTTTTCCAAAAGTTCGGCCAATAACTCTAGCAAGGCAGTTTCCTTTGAGATTGAAGGTCAGAATCTTCTGGACTACAATGCTCAAAACGAAGATTCGGATTCTGACTCAGAAAAAAAATTTAGATTCAGACTAGAACAACTAAAACTAGTTTATTTTGTAAAACTGCATTTAAAAAAAAATAATTTAAAAAAAGTTTATTTAAAAAAAATAAATAATAAAAAATGTTACCTAATTAAAATTACTAAATTTTCATTTCTTATTGGGTTAACATTCCATAAAAATTTCAAACTTTTTAAAATTATCATTATTTTTAAAGATATTCAACTTCTCTGAAGCTAAATTATCCAAATCGGCCACTGTGCGTTGATCGGGATCGGTGACAACTTTTATGTTGTCCCGCTTATCAAAGGGTACATCCATGAAAGTAAGATGCAAACAAAGACTGAAGAGCACTTCCGAATCAAGGTCGAGCTCGAGCCAAAAAGCAGGCCGCTGAAGAAGGACAAGTTGACAAGTTGAAATATCTTTTGCATCGGAGAGTCACTGTGGAAGAGCCATATAAACGAAACAGTCCAGTGCAATGCACTAATTGATAAGAGTATGGACAAACTAGGTCATACTGAACCTTTTGGGCCGATGGTGTAGTCTGCGAGGACGCAGACGCAGAGGATGTATGGTGTACATGGATTTGAAAAGTAGCATGCGACAAGCGACTGCAACGCGCAATCAAAATCCATAGAATTCGTACATTGCAGTTTCACATATTGACCAACATCCCCTTGCAACCTCCCAGACATTATTGATTTTGCGGTGACAAAAAACATACCTGGCAATCTAATAAGTGACAAAGAAGTCTCGGACTTTTCATCAGATTACTCGCCTGTGCTTTTAACGCTTCTTCAAAGTCCAGATATAACCGAACACCCCTTCAGCCTGACGTCGCCAAAAACGAACTGGCTTAAATACAAAAACTACGCCCACATCGAACTCGCCGTAATATCGAAGCGTAATATGGAAGCGTAATATGGAATCGGACATCGACCACACAACGAGCGTCCTGGAAGAAGTACTCGTTGCGGCAGCTAAAATCACTACTCCTCAAAGGAAGGAAGTAGTCCGAAACAAATACTACAAATCCAATCAGCAAATCGAACAACTTGTGCGAGAAAAAAGGCGCACTTGTCGTGATTGACAAAACATAAGATCAGCAGATTAAGGAAGCAACCCGATCACTCGACCAGGCTCTTGCACAGAAACTCTTCGGGATGCTGTGCAGCGACGAAGAAAGGCAAACCCTGCCTCGAATTTATTCCTCCTGGAACTAATTCAGCTAGACGCTACCCCTCTGCAAACCACACCTTTATTCCGGCCAAACGAAATTGAAAAAGTCATAAAAGGGCTAAAACCAAAAACGGCGCCCGGAGATGACTTACTGACGCCAAAGATGTTCATTGAATTCCAAAATGCGCTATAGAGGTAGTTTGTAAACTATTTAATAGGATGATTAATCTTGGATGGCGTTTAAGTCCAGTGGGAAATTTTCTTGGTGGGTTTCCGCATTCTTGACTCGAACAAAGTGCGCTATGAACGGCGCGCAGCTAATCCCAAAAGTCATTTGGGATCATTTGGAATCTGTCGCATAGCTCTTTCATATTGACTATCTGTCTCGGTAATGCTAGGTTCTGAACAGTCTGGACGTTTTTCAACCAGTAAACCTTGTCGGAGTTCATTCAACTCTCGAATCGAGTTTGGCCTTTGGAATACGGATGCGTCTGCTAAGGTCACGAATGATCCTTCATTTAGAAAGGCGTAGATTTCGGTCTGCCTGCTGCCGTAATGCAGCTTGACTGGAATGATGCGAAAGAACTGACTTCCGTTGTTGACGTCTCGATGCGTACTCACGTGACTTTGTGGTCTGTCTTGGACGATTGCTATTAATTCCACAGTTCCCGGTTCGGCATCTGTTCCGGTGTAACTTGAGGTAGCAGAAACAGGCTTTACTCGCTCTGAGTGCCTCCCCCTGAGCTCCGCGTCAAGGTTCAAGAATACCTGGCGTTGAGCTGGTCTGTGACTCGTGTCGCCGCAAGCTACGCACCTCAATTGAACTTGCTGTTTGCTCGTGTTTGTCCTCATGATGGTCCAGGCTCATCTGCCTCTCCCTTGTCCGGGCGGCGACTGTTGTGGGAGTTAACTCGCCCGTTTGGGGCAGCCAATCACTGAATGCTTTGACTGCCACCCTATCGTCGCGGAGATGCATTGCCAAGTTTAACTTGTGTTCTTAAAAGCTTATCAACCAGCTCCTTGACCAGCATTGGATTGTTGAGATGGGCCTTCAGATTGCACGCCTCCATCCGAACTGCAAGCGCGTACTCTATTAACGCGTCAAACTGACTTTGTGTGGTGCCAGTGGTGCAGCCTGTCGAAGAACATCTTCAAAGTGCTGATGACTTCTGGCACTAGGTTAGGAAGTAGGAGTTTACCTCAAACCAGGTCACGAGTTTTCCCTTTAAGCGACTTTTGCAGACGTAGCATATTTTCCATGTTTTTATATCCCGCTGCTGTCGTGCTGCATATTTTCAACAAATTTCAACTTCTGTAGAGGAAAACTTTATGAAGGTCGCCTCGGCCCGCAAATAGCGTATATTTGTGGTAAACTATGCTTCGTTTAGTGTATAAATTATCCATGTTCAGCTGCCCCAACGTACCCCTGTTAAATTTAACGATATTTTCAGCAATAATGTCTGCCTGTAAACAAGCACTTTCAGCAGTATGGCATGGGGAAGCAGATGCCACAAAGAAGAGTTGCATTGTTTGATCACATTTTTAGTTGATAAATCCAAATGTTCCGAGACGGACTTGACATCTATAGAATGTACCATTAAAAATTTATGCAAAACTCTTTCTAAAAGAAGGACAAAATAGAATAGATGTAAGGTGCGTTTCATGAGGAAGAACTCGGGCTAACCGAACATTTGGTTCCTTTGGATGAGCATGGCGTATTATAGATATATATATAAAAAGTACCACTTCCGATCGGAATGATGTCAGAAGAAGCCTTAGAAGCCAAAACAAAGATTTAAGAAATTTTCGCTTAAGCCATACGCGTAAAAACACTCGCCAAAATACAATGGAGGATCTTTTGCATTTATTCTTAGAATCGTCAGATCCATTAACTACAAGCTTTTCCAAAAGTTCGGCCAATAACTCTAGCAAGGCAGTTTCCTTTGAGATTGAAGGTCAGAATCTTCTGGACTACAATGCTCAAAACGAAGATTCGGATTCTGACTCAGAAAAAAATTTAGATTCAGACTAGAACAACTAAAACTAGTTTATTTTGTAAAACTGCATTTAAAAAAAAATAATTTAAAAAATGTTTATTTAAAAAAATAAATAATAATAAATGTTACCTAATTAAAATTACTAAACTTTCATTTCTTATTGGGTTAACATTCTATAAAAATTTCAAACTTTTTAAAATTATCATTATTTTTAAAGATGTTCAACTTCTCTGAAGCTAAATTATCCAAATCGGCCACTGTGCGTTGATCGGGATCGGTGACAACTTTCATGTTGTCCCGCTTATCAAAGGGTACATCCATGAAAGTAAGATGCAAACAAAGACTGAAGAGCACTTCCGAATCAAGGTCGAGCTCGAGCCAAAAAGCAGGCCGCTGAAGAAGGACAAGTTGACAAGTTGAAATATCTTTTTTGCCGTCTGTGTAGTGTGCGAGGACGCAGACGCAGAGGATGTATGGTGTACATGGATTTGAAAAGTAGCATGCGACAAGCGACTGCAACGCGCAATCAAAATCCATAGAATTCGTACATTGCAGTTTCACATATTGACCAACATCCCCTTGCAACCTCCCAGACATTATTGATTTTGCGGTGACAAAAAACATACCTGGCAATCTAATAAGTGACAAAGAAGTCTCGAACTTTTCATCAGATTACTCGCCTGTGCTTTTAACGCTTCTTCAAAGTCCAGATATAACCGAACACCCCTTCAGCCTGACGTCGCCAAAAACGAACTGGCTTAAATACAAAAACTACGCCCACATCGAACTCGCCGTAATATCGAAGCGTAATATGGAAGCGTAATATGGAATCGGACATCGACCACACAACGAGCGTCCTGGAAGAAGTACTCGTTGCGGCAGCTAAAATCACTACTCCTCAAAGGAAGGAAGTAGTACAAATCCGAAACAAATACTACAAATCCAATCAGCAAATCAAACAACTCGTGCGAGAAAAAAGGCGCACTTGTCGTGATTGACAAAACATAAGATCAGCAGATTAAGGAAGCAACCCGATCACTCGACCAGGCTCTTGCACAGAAACTCTTCGGGATGCTGTGCAGCGACGAAGAAAGGCAAACCCTGCCTCGAATTCATTCCTCCTGGAACTAATTCAGCTAGACGCTACCCCTCTGCAAACTACACCTTTATTCCGGCCAAACGAAATTGAAAAAGTCATATAAGGGATAAAACCAAAAAACGCTCCCGGAGATGACTTACTGACGCCAAAGATGTTTATTGAACTTCCAAAATGCGCTATAGAGATAGTTTGTAATCTGTTTAATAGGATGATTAATCTTGGATGGCGTTTAAGGCCAGTGGGAAATTTTCTTGGTGGGTTTCCGCATTCTTGACTCGAACAAAGTGCGCTATGAACGGCGCGCAGTTAATCCCAAAAGTCATTTGGGATCATTTGGAATCTGTCGCATAGCTCTTTCATATTGACTGTCTGTCTCGGTAATGCTAGGTTCTGAACAGTCTGGACGTTTTTCAACCAGTAAACCTTGTCGGAGTTCATTCAACTCTCGAATCGAGTTTGGCCTGGCCTTGTCTTTCCAGTCTTTGGAATACGGATGCGTCTGCTAAGGTCACGAATGATCCTTCATTTAGAAAGGCGTAGATTTCGGTCTGCCTGCTGCCGTAATGCAGCTTGACTGGAATGATGCGAAAGAACTGACTTCCGTTGTTGACGTCTCGATGCGTACTCACGTGACTTTGTGGTCTGTCTTGGACGATTGCTATTAATTCCACAGTTCCCGGTTCGGCATCTGTTCCGGTGTAACTTGAGGTAGCAGAAACAGGCTTTACCCGCTCTGAGTGCCTCCCCCTGAGCTCCGCGTCAAGGTTCAAGAATACCTGGCGTTGAGCTGGTCTGTGACTCGTGTCGCCGCAAGCTACGCACCTCAATTGAATTTGCTGTTTGCTCGTGTTTGTCCTCATGATGGTCCAGGCTCATCTGCCTCTCCCTTGTCCGGGCGGCGACTGTTGTGGGAGTTAACTCGCCCGTTTGGGGCAGCCAATCACTGAATGCTTTGACTGCCACCCTATCGTCGCGGAGATGCATTGCCAAGTTTAACTTGTGTTCTTAAAAGCTTATCAACCAGCTCCTTGACCAGCATTGGATTGTTGAGATGGGCCTTCAGATTGCACGCCTCCATCCGAACTGCAAGCGCGTACTCTATTAACGCGTCAAACTGACTTTGTGTGGTGCCAGTGGTGCAGCCTGTCGAAGAACATCTTCAAAGTGCTGATGACTTCTGGCACTAGGTTAGGAAGTAGGAGTTTACCTCAAACCAGGTCACGAGTTTTCCCTTTAAGCGACTTTTGCAGACGTAGCATATTTTCCATGCTTTTATATTCCATGCTTATTCCATGCTTCCATGCTTATAACGATCAGTCCTCAGGATCCTCGCTGAATGTTGGAAAATCTTTGGGTCCTGCTAGGGAAGCGACACATTCGCCTTTTTAAATTTTTCGCCTCCAGCCGGTCTAGCTGTGATTGCTAGCGACGCGACGCTGTTTCTCCGCTTTAATCAGCAGGTAACGAAGTTCTTGGAGGAAGTATTTTTTAGAAATGTTGGGATCGGGGCGAGGTTGCTACTCGATTTTTTAAACCAACATGGATTTGGTTAGTTTTTCGTTTATTCTTACTCAAATCAATGATGTGTGGCGCGCGCTAAAAAACTTCGTCCGTTTCCTACGCCGCGCTAGCTTCACCTAGCCATGGCAGACGCCTCGTTTTTCCATTTTACAAATATCGAATAGCTTAACATCTAGCATTTTTCAAAACTAATTCTGAACATTATTCAACACTAATTCTAACGTTTTTATTATTCAAATATAAACTTTAATCTATGAAGCGGTAAAAACACGGTTTTGTGCTATTCGGCCTGATAAACAATTAAACTCTTGCACTGTGTATTTATTTTTCGAATATAAACAAAAATCTAAAAGGGCCCCCTCCTAATAGTTAATGCATTGTAATTTTACAGTACAAGTTTTTAATATATTGTATTGTTTCTATGTCATCCGCTTTGTCAAAACTTGAACCCTCTGGGCGTTGCAACTTTTACATAAAATGTGATCATCCAAAGGATAGCATCCGCGACCTTCAGCTTCAGACGATAACAGAAGACCGCAATCCTATTAAAATATAAAAATTTATATTAAAATATAAAAATTTTAATTTAATAACATATTTTACCATTTATTGAATTTTTATTTTGTTTAAGATAATCCTTTATATTTACCTCACATTTATAGCATCCAAGGTGAAAACTACGATCAAGAGCTACAACTCTAACCGTTTCTTCCTGCCCCGACTCTGGCATTATTGGGTGTTTGCAGACACAACAACGGGGAGCAAATTTTCTTAAATTTTTGAAAATAAGCTCAATTTACATGAAAAATTAAATTTTTTACTTACTTGTGGAAGTCCGTAATGCAATAATTTTGATTAGTAGCGTCAACAGTAAACAATAACCCATCTAAACTTTTTCCACAAATAATGCAAGTGAAGCATTGGGGATGGTACGGCTTTCCTGTAGCTCTTAAAATCCTTTCAAGAATTGGTTCCATACAGACCGAACACTTTTCTAGCGTTTGCAAATAATCATATTCACAATATGGTTTGCCATCTAAAGCATAAAATGGCTTTCCTTGCAAGTTAATTTGGCAATCTGTACACGTGAAACAAGATACATGAAAGATTTGACTCATTGCCGTACAGCCACTCGTTTCTCCTAACACGCGCGAGTTGCATTTTACACAAATACCTGAAAATATAATTTTCTTAATTCTTACATTGTTTTATTTTTGTTTTTATCATTTGACGAACCATAATTATCTAGTTCATTTGTTCCATCAATTGTGTTTAATATATTAGGCGCACCGTCAAATTTTTCTCGATACACAGAGCTTTCTTCATTGTCCTTAGTAAACCCAGCCCCCTGGGTATAAAATAAAGCAGTCTCGCCAACCCGATTTGTTTTGTTCATAACACTACTAGTAGCATAAGGTAAGTAAAAATTTAAACTTTCTGGAGGTATCGCTTCACTAGATAGACGTGGATTTATGGGCTCATATGTAGAATCATAAGAATAATAAGACGCCTGAAAGAAAATAAAATAAGTATAAATCCAAGCACTGCACAGTGGTTAGTTCTATAGACTTTTGAATTTTTAGTTAAGAAAATTGGTTTTTCACCACGTTTGCGAAGAAAATTGTATAGAGAGCCAAAGCCAATCACGTAACGCGTCACGGTTCGAATCGTTCTGTCAAAGTTTTCAAAATATACAAAAAATTCAAAGCTCATATCTTCAAAAGTACAAAAGTCAGGTCATTTCCGATCGCTCAGTTATACTGCAGATATAGGACATAGGTAGCCGATCCTTAAAAAATTGGGTAGATCCAATCAGTTGTCCAAAAATAAAATATTTACGAAGTATTTTCTATCTTTCAAAATACCAATGATCAATTATACATGTTTCAGCAATCTGATAGAATCTGTACAAAGTTCTAACCTACTATATTTAAAAACACGACAGTTGTGACATTTATGATTGTTTAGTTATATGGCAGCTATAGGATGTAGTCGGCCGAGCCTTATGAAATTTCAATCAATCAGACGGACATGCTTATCTACTCATGAGGTTATCCTGATCAAGAATATATATACATTATAGAGTTGGAGATCTATCATGCATTGCATTGCACACTTTTGAACAAAATTATGAAGCCCTGTGGAAGGGTATAGAAATAGTTCGGGACCAAACACATAAATTTATATTGCTTCTTGGCTTGCATTGTGGGAAATTAAAATTTACTGTGGTAAATCGTATTCAAATCCAAATTGATACTTTAATCCGATTTAGATATCTTTTAAAAATGGTGTTTAGCAATTTACCTATCTCAGGTCTTCTTAATCGTCTAGTCCACACATGCTACATTCTCTATGGGTCTTAGATATATTAACCCATCTTAACGATCTGGGTGTTCTATTAGATTTGAAACTCAAATTTTCCGACCATTACATCGAATCTGTACAAAAAAAACTTCCTAATTTGTTCTCGCAGGACTAAATTGGGATGCAAATCTTCACATGTTTTCCTACCTTTCCTAGACTTTTATCAACTTGCCTTCCCCAAAAAAAAACCGTACCGCCGAACCAGTGTAGCTCGCAGTGTAAAACTCCCCTCCAATGCACAGTGGCCGGATTGACCGATTTTTTTGCAAAAAATCCAAAAATGACCCAACAGTGCTGTAACTTGGCGCAATTGATGATAAGATCACCACAGGATTATAGCCAAAATTTGAATTCGATCTGACCAAGCCCACACCTACCGCCCCCCATTCCATTAATTTGAACAAAACACATGTACTTATGTTATCCAACTCATAAATTGCCTCACCAAAAAGGCAATGTAAACATTATTTGCAAAACGCAGTAGCCCCTGCTGAATGCGTCATGCCGTTTCTTATCTTGTCTCCTAATTTCCCCTCACTCGTTTCTGATGATCCCCAAAAGATTATCCAGACAAAACATCAAGCTCCACTTGTAAACATTCCCACAAAATTTTCCATGGCCCAAGCCAGACATAAACATTAGAGCCGACTCGCCGTCACCAGCCCGAATTGGTTCGATCTTCCGATCTTATCACTCTTCACGAATGACTCAACTACTGCATCAGCAAATTGTCCCTTTCTCTTAGAATCTCTTAGGGCAATTGTTTATTCTCTCCAAGTACCCTTTTGGGTTATTTTTCTTAAGCCGAGGTTTGTTGGTTATCTGGCAATTAAAAATTGGCAGTCTTATTCCGGGAGCAAGCCTTTCACATACAATCGGTCTAGCCTAAGCGTTTAAATAAAGTTTGTGAACCAAATAAGAAATAATGAATAAAGTTTTTAAAAATAAAAAATTAAAAATTTTTTTTTATAAAAGTGAACTTCGGGATTAATTTAATTGGCGCCCAACGTGGGACCATGCAAATAAAGGTGATTCTAATAAATAATTAATTAAAATAAAAACAAATTAATTATAAGGAAAGCACCAGCGTGGCTCAAAAAAAAACTCATATAAATCCCAATTTAATCGCGTTTAACGGGCAAACCGAAGACTAGTGATTGGCAAAGACTCCGATAAAAAAATAAAAAAATATATACAAAACATTAAAAAACACATTAAAATTCAGTGTTCAAAATTAAAAAACCGTGGTCACTGAAAAATAAATTAACAAATCAGTGATTTGGAGCTTTTCAAGAGACCTGAATAAGCAAAAAAAACAATAAAGCAAAAACGTTTTATAAACAGAAAAGTTTAACAAAAAACTATATACAAAAAATAATACAAAAAAACAATATACAAAGAAATACAAAAGAAATAATTTTAAAAAAGGAACAAATACAAAAGAAATAAATAAATTCAATTATATACAAAAGCTGATTAACTGATCCAACGAAAGAAAGAAGGAAGAAATCCAACAGAACATCTAACCAAGGAGAAAAGGATACAGATAGCAGGAAGGAAGAAACCAAACAGGACATCTAACTAAGGAGGAAAGGATACAACATCATCGTGAGAAATTAAAGAAAAGCTTATCCTTAGTTACACATTACATTACATATAAAAAATACTAACAAAAAATTTTATAAAATTAAGTCAAATCTCTTGAAAAATTAAATACTTAACGATTAAACAATCTGGAAGATATAATAAATAATTTTCAAAAATTAAACATGGCAACCGATGGTGGATCAAGCACGTTAGGTAGTGGAATTGGAACCAGTTCTATTACAACAGAATCAATAAATAGATTGATAAACGTCCAGTTAAATGAATTGACTACAAAAATTAATGAATTATCGGCAAAAGTAGAAAGTAAGGAAAAAACGGTTGTAGATTATAAAATTCAGACAATTGATCCAAATATAAGTTGTGATACAACATTGGAAGTTATTAAAGCTCTGCCAAAATTTAACGGGGAGCAAGCTCAGTATGTAGGCTGGAGGAAGGCTGCAGAGACAGCAATGAGTTTATATAAAATAAACAGTGAGCAATATTTTATAGCGTTAACCATACTTCGTAACAAAATAATGGGAGCGGCCCTGACCAACCATGGAACAGTTCTTAATTTAAATACAATTTTGTCTAGATTGGATTTTATCTATAGTGATAGAAGACCAATCCACGCTCTAAAAGCTGAACTAAGTATTCTTAGACAGGGTAAATTGTCTATTACGGAGTTCTATAACGAGGTAAATAAAAAGATGACCCTACTGATCAATAAGACCATAATGACATATGGTAAAGAAACGGAGAGTAAAGAATCTAAACGGAGAAACGGCCAAAACCAAAGTTGGCCCCAACAGACTAATTTCGACCAGAATAAACCCCAGAACCAATGGAAGTCGATCCTTCCATACAGTTCGTAAGCCGACCAAGAGGGCAATCTAATAATTATCTTCAGGGATATACCCAAAGTTTAGCACAAACCAAAACCAAGATCGTCCGTATTCAGGTTGACCAAACTACTATCAACATAATTATAGCCGTCCTTCAGCTAGCCCAAGTCATTTTCCAGTAAAGCGAGAGCTTGAGAGTACAGAAAATCAACCACAAAATAAAACCATGAAAATTAATAATATTCAGGAGGACCATTTTTTAGGGGAAGAGCTAGAGTAAGATTACCTTACTTAATACGATTTGACAAAAAAGAAAATACAAATTTTAAAGTACTAATTGATACAGTCGCAACCACTTGTTACATTAAAAATATTTAAATAAAAATTTTTTTTTTTTTTTTTTTTTTTGTAATAGCAGGGTAATGTTTATTTAAAACTGTCCATTAGGGACAACCATTAAATTTTATCACGTAAACTTCACGTATAGATATTTTTAAATATTAATATGGTAGAGAAAAAAAAAAATTAGAGTAGTAAGGGGAGGTCCAGCGGGTGTGTCCTTTTAAGTCTTCTGGGTTGCTCGCTGCTGTCCAGCAGGGAGCTGGCCAACCGGTTCGGGTGATTATGAAGCCTCTGCATGTAACGTGCGCTGCTTCTTTGTATCTCGTCCTTGACCCAAGGGAAATTGAGAACCTCGTGGATAGTGCGATTGTCATGATAGACGTGGGCCCCAGTGGCGATTCGAAGGACTCTATTTTCAAAAGCTTGCATAGTTCGGACATTCGTCTTGCTCGCAGTTCCCCAGAGCTGTATGCCGTACGTCCAGATAGGGCGTATTATTGCCTTGTAAATGAGGAGTTTAGTGGAAGTTCTCAGCTTCGATCTCCTACCCATAAGCCAGTTGAAGGATCGAAGTCTTTGAATAGCCTGTTTCCTCTTCTTAATCAGATGGGGCTTCCAGGTGAGCCTCCTGTCTAGGGTGAATCCCAGGTACCTGGGATTGTCTACCTGTGGGATTGGAGAGCCGTTAAGGTTAACTGGAGGGCAGTTGCCTTTGCAGAGAGAAAATGTGGAGGCAGTGGACTTCTCGTTATTGACGGCAATGTTCCATCGCTTTTGCCAGTCGCTGAGCAAGTCAAGTTGCAATTGCATCGTATCGGCTGCCCCCAATGCGCTATCGGCGGTGGTAAGGAAGGCGGTGTCGTCTGCATAGGTTGCTGCGAGCAGGTCAGGCCTCTGAAGAACAGGGAGGTCGGCCGTGTAAGCATTGTACATCAACGGGCCAAGAACGCTGCCTTGGGGTACACCAGCGTGAGCTTCTCTAATACCGGAGATGGCCTCGCCACATCTAACAGCAAATTTACGGTCTTCCAAGAACGACTTTAGGAACTGGAAGTATGGTCGGGGTAGGCCAGTCTTTAATTTATATAGAAGACCGGGATGCCAGACTCGGTCAAACGCCTGCTTCACGTCCAGCATGACGGCCATGCAGTACTTCTTGGTTTCAAACGCGTCCAGGATGCACTGCACTACCCGATGGCACTGCTCTGGCGTACCGTGTCGCCGCCTGAAGCCAAACTGGTGGTCAGGGATCAGTCCAGCCTCGTCAAATACTGGCAGTGCTCTGCTTAAAAACACTCGTTCAAGTATTTTGGAGAGCGTTGGTAACAAACTTATTGGTCGGTAGGACGAAAGGTTTGCTTCGGGTTTC